CTGCCAGCCTTCTGGTTAGCAGTCAAGTGCCTTAGGCACTATGCTACCAGAGCTCCTACATATACATATACATACATATATGTGTGTGTGTGTGTGTGTGTGTATAAAGGAACTCTGGTGGTGCTTTGTAAGGCATTTGGCTGCTAACCAGAAGGTTGGCAGTTCAAACTCAACAGCTGCTCTGTGGGAGGAAGATGAGGCAATCTACTTCCTGATTTATAGCCTTGGAAACCCAATGGGGTTACTATAAGTTAGAATTGACTCCATGGCAATGGGCTTGATTTGTTGCACATATATATATGGTTTTCTGTGAAGGCTTACATAGCAGTTTAGGTTCCCATTCAACAATTTCTACACAAGTTGTTAATGACATTGGTTACATTCTTCACAATGCACAAGCATTCTCATTTTTTCTCTTCTGGCTGTTCTGTTTCCATTAACCTAGTTTCCCTTTCCCATTACATTCTTATTTTTGTCTTAAAGTAATTGTTGACTATTTGTAAAGAGACATTTAATTGGAAATATTTTTTTAAATTCTTTTTTAGGGCATTTATATCTGAATTTTAGAAAAGAAGGTATATCAGTCAGAGAGAATTCTTTCTCTCTTAGAAGAAAAACATGTCCATACTTTTTTGACCCTGTCCTCAAGCTCTTTCCTTCACATTACACAAAAATGGGAAATGGCCCCTAATAGGCCACATCACCCACACCCTAGCCTCTAGCCAGGCTCCCTCCCTCCGGACAGGGATACACTCACCACATTTCTAACAAAGGAGCTAGAGGCAGGAAGTCACTACATTTCCCACTACCATTTTGATGATCATCTCATACTATTGGTTGCCTGCTTTAAATTTTAATTTGCTTTCAGCGTTTTAGGAAAAATCTTTAAAAGTAGTCCTCTAAAGAGAAACAGAATCTTTCAGGCTTGGGGCAAGCCTGCTTGCTTTTCTATCCTTCCCTGTTGCTTCCCAGAAGACACACTGCAAATTTAGTTTAAAGAACAAGGGTCTAGTTGTCCTATAGTGATTAACTGAGTTTTGCTACTGCCAGAGGACAAAGGCTAGATTGACACTAGGTGGATGTTTCAGAGGGCTGGTCTCGCTTTTTGTTTTCTTTTCCAATCCTGTTTCTGTCCTGGAGAATAGGGAATGGTATGTTAAAACACATGCTCAACAAAACCTCCAATGTAAGTAATGTTAAGGAGGAAAAGACTCCACTACTAGACCAAGAACTTCTAAATACTAACCCTTAGCTCTTATCAAAGCAAAGATAATAAGAGGAGTGAAGTGGGGGAGGAAAGCACTAAGAAGAAGGAGCAGAAGAAGGAAGAGGAGTGAAGACATCAGTAAATGTTTAACAATTAGAAACCACCCTTGGCTCAGGAGTTGGCCTGGCAAGGGCATCCCAAACTTCACCCTCATACTTTGTTAGAGTCAAGGTGACTACACAGGGATTTGACCTACCCTGTCCAACAGAAAGCTTCAAATTTCCATAATCATAGAAACTTAGAGGTGGAACAATCCTTAGAGTTCATCCCAGTGCTATAATCCCGTTACACTACTCCTAGCTGTTTCTGCATAGATGCCTCCTGTGACAGGAGACTCATTACCAGCTGCAACATTCCCTGTTTGATCACTCCAAACATTTCTAACACTGCACTGAACTGAATGAAATCTGCCTCTCTGTAACTTTAACAATTTCTAGCCTCTATAACTCTGGATTCAAATAATGTTTCCTGGTAGTTTGCTGAGCAACTGGCATGGCTAGGTCTTCCCCCATAGGGCCTCTGAAGCCTGACAGCTTTGGTTCTTACCCAAGTTAAGTAATCTAGCAGCTCTGTGACTACATATAAATTACTTACCTTTCTGTGCCTCAGTTTCTCATCTGTAGAAAGGAGAAAATAATAGTACCAACATCTTCAGATTATTAGGAGGATTAAATGTGATATAGTCTGTGGGAAACTATATATGGCACACAGTGGTCACATATTAAGTGCTCAGTAGAACTCACCTCCTGAAATTGTGCAATAAGACTGCCGGCTCCCTCAAGGTGAAGATTGGGTTGTATTCATCTCTGTACCTTTTTTGCTTAGCACAGTATCTGGCTGAATATTTGGTGCAAAATAAATGCTTATCGATTGACTAAATAATTAATTGGTAATAGCTCTATTCTTGTGCTAAATCCAGGAGCCCTGGTGGCACAATGGTTAAAGCGCTCGGCTGCTAATCAGAGGTCTGCAGTTCTAACCCACCAGTTGCTCCTTGGGTATAGAATGTGGCAGTCTGCTTCTGTAAAGATGTATAGCCTTAGAAATCCTATGGGCAGTTCTATTCTATCCTATAGAGTCACTACAAGTTGGTATCAACTGGACGGCAGTGGGTTTGGTTTGGTGCTAAATCCCTACCCATAATCTTGTGTCTATGACAACTTTCATCCCTCAACTCCTCCCTTGCCCCAACTTAAAAAATACCAGTTGCCATCCAGTCAACTCTGAGTCATGGCAACCCCATGTGTGTCAGAGCAAAATGTGCTCCATAGGGTTTTCACAAGTAGATAACCAGGCCTTTCTTCTGAGTATCTCAGGATGGTTTCCAGCTCTCTAACATTTTGGTTAGGAGCTGAGTACACTAATCATTTGCCTCACCCAAGGACTCCAAGCCACATCAGCCACTGTTTATCGCTACTAAATCCAAAAACTTGCTATGATGCTGCCCAGGTCTCAGTGGAGCTTCCAAACTAAGATGGGTCAGGAAAAAGACCTGGCACTCTACTTAGGAAAATCAGCCAAAGGAAGTCCTACGGATTGCAACTGTTTGATTCTCCACCTATCACAAGGATGATAGAACTAGGCAGCATTTCTTTTGTTTTGTTGTACATGGGATCACCATGAGTCGGGGTGAACTGGAAGGCAATAAACAACAGCAATCCAAAAATACCCAACTTCTCCTCCCAAGTGGGAAGAGCTTTAGCTTGAGGCAAAGGTCACTAGAACCACACTTCAGGCATGAAGTGTGACCCTGTAGAGGAAGTCTCTGTGATTGATGTTCTATGGCTTATATGGTGAGGACACATGGTCCCTTGGCTGTGGGCCTTCCAGAGAGAGGGCTGGGATCTGAGAGACTTAAGTGAAGGGGTAAGAAAGCCTTCCTTGAGAAATAGATCAGAGAGTAGAAAGAGATGGGATAAGATAGGGGCAGAGTGGAGTGGATAAAGCTGGGGAGGAGGAAGATTTGGGAGCTAACTGGGCCCTTCCTCTAGCTGGAGAGATCTAAACCTCTGAATGAACAATTAAGGGATGTCAGAAACAAGCTGGGAGTGCAGCTGGACTAGGGTAAAACCTCCAGCCACCAAACAGAAATGATACTACCCAGGGAATGAAGAGCTGGGCTAAGGGGAAGCTTTACTGGCGCCAGGGTTGGAAGCAAAATGCTCAACTAGGAAATTAAATATCAAGAAATTTCCCGGTAAAAGTTAAAAGCACTTTTCCACCCTTCACTTCATGTCCATCCCAGTCTCTCCCAAGGTCAATAGCTCATCGCAGCTCAGCGCTGAGTCCAGGTGCTTTAAGTGCACTAAAGTTTTGTGGGTTATAAACCACAAAGCACCTACTGTGTGTAAGACAGTACAGAGACAAAAAAGGAGGTGGGCAATTATCTAAAAAAAAAAAAAAAAAAAAGCTTCCGCACTGCATTCCCCATGGGAATGGGAGAGGTAACTCCAGAGCTGGCTACCTGGGGGCTCCCTTTGCTAAGGGCTTGCTCCTAACAGTTGGCATTTTCCTCCGCAGGCACACGGGGTGAATGGGAGGGCACACCAACAGAAGGAGAACGGAAGAGCTCCCTTAGGAGCCTCCAGCGCTGCGGGAGAGGAGAGCGCCGCCCCACGGCCTTCACTGGAGTGGGTAGGGGGCGGAGGGGGGAGAGGATCGCTTGTTCGTTTCCTGGAACACTCTGTTAAGAATTTCAGCAATTGCAGTTAGTGCCCCATCGTTTGGCAAGCGGAGTTGCATCTCATCCTTCCCAGCTGCACGGGATCTAATTCGCAAAGGCACCATCTTGCATTCAACACTTAAATAGAAAACAAGGAGCCTGGGGAGGCAGGCAGGAGAGAACACGGGATTTGGCTGGGCCTTAGGCCTTGCCAATAAAATAGGAACTAAAATCTGTTTGTGTGCTCAGATTTTAAAGGAAGATACTGCTTATTCTTCCCCACTGGAAGCCTGTTTAAAAGAAATTAAGGCCTCTCTTAAAGGTAACTAAGATTAGAGAGCTCGGTTTCCGTTTTCTGTGTTTCTGTGGGCCGAACGCCCAGGTCGGTCAGTGAGTTTCCTTCTGGAATGACGAATTCCTCTCGCCTGAATTCTAAATGATAACTTTGCTTCGTGCTGCAGCTGCGAACGTCTGGAGCCAAGTGGCCCAATCCTGGCCATGGGTTGCTGGCGGGCAGAAGTAGGGGTAAGCGGGAATGGAGGTGAGCCGTGCCTCTGTGAAGAGCCGGAAAAACGACGAGTAGGAAACTAACGGCAGCTCTTCCCAGCCTCGGCCCCTTTAAGTGCTTCACTGACTCAGCTAAGCTTCCCCCTCAGGTCGCGTTTTTTATGAATGAAAAACGTCCTTACATTCATTATATAAACAAACCTGTGCTGATTGGACAATGGCCCCCGGTGCATAAATTATGTAAAGCGGAGCCCTGAGCGGGTGGGGAAGGACGCGCCGTTGGCCAATGGGGGCTGGAGTTGGTGGGACGGCTCGGCTGGATTTGCCTGCAGACAGGGTAAACAAGAGGTGATGGACAACCGCGGGAGCGGCCTCGGGCCAATGGGAACGTGGCTGTGCTAGGGCCGCGGGCCAATGGTGTCTGGCTGAGCAGGGGGCTGCTGGGGGCCGGGCCAGCGCTCCAGCCTGGTTGGCAGCTGCAGCGCAGAGTCCAGCCGCTGGTGCGCGGAGCGGTTCAGCGTTCCCGGAGCGGTTCGGCCCAGCCTTTCGCTTCGGCGCCCAGGCCCCGGTGCGCGCGTGCGTGAGCGCGCCTGCGCCGCCGGGACCGCTGCAAGGGGAGGAGAGCCGACGCCTCAGGTGAGGGGGCGTCGCAGGGGCAGGGGGCACTGAAAGAGGAGCCAGGAACAGGTCCGAAGGGTCCAGTTGAGGATAGTTCGCGGGCTGATTCATAGTGCTTCAAGTCGGGTGCACTTTACATCAGGGGTGAGCTCCCCAGGCTGATCTCCCCCTTTTCCCGTGGCCCGGTCCAGTTGGTTCAGTTCGGTTCCTGATAGGTGTAGGGCGGCTAACGGTTCTGGAGCTCGCCTAGAGCGGGTTTCCGCACGTCGCGGAAGAGGCCGGGCATGAGGTGCTGGGGTTCCTGGGTGGGGATGGGGGAGCGCGGAGTTGCAGGTTTACAGTCTGTAGATCTGAGAGCCCCGAGGGGACTTGGAGGCTCGCGAGAAGAGACGTTTCGTGAAGCTTTGCAGTTGGGAGGAGGGGATGGGAAGCCGCTCCAGGGGGAATATTTGCTAGGCGATGCCCACTGGAGCATCAGGAAGGGTTAAGTGACACGGGCATGTGCAGCCTGCGAGATTGGGGGTCGGCCAGGAACTTATGCAGGCCTTGCAAGTTTCAGGTTGTGCAAATTGAACACTCACTCTCCCCTCATTACCTCTCAGCGGACTTAGGGCGTCGGGCTGTGAAGCCACTCTCGAGAAATTGGGGAACATCACAGCATCGGCCTGAGGATGGTGGAAAAAATCCGGGAGGGGGAGGGCTGAGAGATGCTGGAGCCCAGAACTGGATTAGGGGTCTGGTTGCATTTCCGGAGGGGAGGGAACCTGGGGTGGGGGGACGACGGACACCGAACTCCTGATCGAAAGGGGGATGCCAAGAAGAGATGTTTGGTTTTATTTGGGGGTGGGGGGTAGCGCCGGCGCCGTACCTTGTTTTTATGAATGTGGGTGACTTTATGAATGAAGTGGGTTTGTTTGGTTGGTTCGCTGCTCCCTGCGGCTGTTTTTTTTTTTCCCCTTTCCCTTTTTTGTGAATGAAGCATTGAGCTTGCTTCCTAAATCGCTGGGGTGAGGGGCCTGCGACGGAGGCTGGGCGTGCGTTGGGTGTGGGGGCGGGGGCGCATCTGAAGGCGTTTTCATGCATGAGGAAGGCTGGGAATTGGGTGGAAGTGTGTCTTGTTTTGTGAATGGGGCCCCGCGCGAGGGATCCAGTTACAGCTTCTACCTGATGTGGCGGCCGCGGCTCGCTCTCCCATTCATAAAACAGGGCCCGCTGCGCATCGCGGGGGAGGGGCGCGATCGCGCTACGGGTCCGTGCGCGAGTTTTCCTAGGGGCACCAGCTGGGGTGGGGGGCATACAAAAGGAAGTAATTTAAACTCCGGGATGAACTCGTGCCTGCCTTACAGGATTTTTTTTTTTTTTTTTTTAGTTACACTTTGAACACAGTTTTTCCTAGACCTTGAATTCTTAAAGCGGTTTAAAAGATACCCGATGCTTCTTTTGGATTCGTTTATGGCCATTTCTTTATTTTTTATTGAAGATATCTTTGTTCTTCATGGTGATATATTTTGCAATATATATGAGACTCTGAAATCTCTCTCTCTCCTGTCTTCTATCCCCCAGCAGACATTTACAGAATTCTTAAGGCTACTATTTAATATGACTGATTTTTGAAGCCTAGGAAGAGTGGTTTTTGTGCCCCTCAACTCACTGCAGAGGTTGCTCCGATTTTGCTACGGGTTGGTGACATTTGAGAGAGAGGCTTTATTCTGAACGTTTTTAGCGCTGTTGGGAAGCCACGAAAGCAGGCTGGCGGGAGTGTTTTTCTAGGAAGTTACGAACTGTGTGCTATTTCACTCTTCTCTTTCACTTTGATTTTGACAGTATCTAATTACTTAGGCCAAAGTGCTGGGAGGCTAGCCGTGAAGGGTTTCCTTGTATCCTGCTCACTTTTGAAAAAATGATACGCTCCACACAGTGTGCAAAACAGTTACATGGAGTTGCCCACTGGGAAAAAGTTCCCTGTTAAAATTTATATACAAGTTAAACAAAAACCATTTTGTATTTCTTAGAGATTGGTGTGAGTGAAGTTAATGTTTTCCTCCATTTTGTTGATAAACTGCATTTTTATTTGGACAATAAAACAGTGTTCAGGAAGATGGTACCTTCCTAAAACTTGTCACATCATTTCTCCCAAGTTGACCCCCCAGATTCTCTTCCCAGCCCCAATGCTTGCCAGTGCTTAAATTAGTTTATTTATTTATTTTTTGGGGAGGAGGCATGTCTAAGAATATTGACTTCATTTTAAGAAACAAACCGAATTTTCTTTTTATGGATCTTTCATTCATATATTTATCTATCTATGTATCTATACATATATGAGAAACACCTGTGGTAGAGATGCATTTAGAATACATGCAGTGGAATTGAGTTTACTTTTTATCTATTACTTTTCAAAGATAATCTATTCTTTTAGAAGTTGGAGATATCAGATATCTCTGTAAGTTGCTACGGAAATACTATTGACATTACAGACACTACACCTGTGTTTGGACAGGTTTTAAATACTGAGTTGTGTGTTAAAATAAGTGTGCCTCTTATCAATATCTTCTGAAGTTATGTATAGTATTTTACCATTGACCTACAAAATACTTTTAGAAACACTATGTATGTCACATTCTTAATTGCCAATAATTTAGAATACTAAACCCAGTTTCTCTACTTCCTGTTACTATATTGTCAAGAATTTAATTATCTCTTTAAAAAATCCAAACACTATAAATACTGTGGAAACCTATAAGATTTGCTGTATTGAACAATCTTGAACTCGTCCTTTTATAATGAAAATAAACTTTTTCTTTTTTTTTAAGAGGGAAAGTAGCAAACCTCTATACACCTACCCCTTCACTTAGTGACTATCTTGTTATCTGATATTTTGCATTTATGTTAACAGAAAAAAAAAATACATCCAGCTGTTCTGCAAATTAGCAATGTATGTCTGGCAGTAACTGTATGAGGCAAGCATAATGCTGGCAGTGGTGGTTAAAGTTATGTGTCAACATGGCTGGACCATGATTCTTAGTGATTTGGCAGTTACATAAGGGTATAGTCATTCGCCATTTTGTGCTTTGATGTGGTCAACCTCCATTTTCACATAAAGTGAGTTTTTGCATAATGACCTTGCCTTTGGAACCTAACTATGTTGCTAAGTGAGTAGTGGGTATAATCATAATTGATCCAGAGAGAGAGGGAGGACATTAGTACATTGTGCACATTTGGTGCCATTAATCAAGCCTGGTGTTAGTCTATAAAGCTTACACTTTGGGTGGGCTTTAAGTACTTAAGAGAAAGGTAGGACTTTAGCATAGCCCTGAAAAAGGAGCATTATACAATTACTTTGTCTCTTCTCCATCCCCCTTAGTTAATAAAATCTTCCAAATTCATATTTACAGGAGGATCCTTTTCCCCCTAGAAACTACTCAATGCTGAAACCTTTCAAATTGATATTGGAGAACTTGGAAGCACCATGGATGCATTTTATGATCAGCAAGTCCCTTTTATGGTCCCGGGGGTAAGTTTATGTGGCTTCTGGTTTGTTTTGCCCCCTCTCTTCAAATATGAGTCTTCTTATTGGTTTAGTTATATGACCCCCTTTGGACCCTTTTATCACACTGGAGTCTTCACTGTTGGCTTCTTTCAGAAATCTCAATCAGAGGAATGTAGAGGTCGACCTGTGATTGACAGGAAGAGGAAGTTTTTGGACACAGATCTGGCTCATGATTCCGAAGGTAGTGAAGCTTTCTTCTTTTAATAGTGTGGGTTCCTCACAACGCTCCCAATATAAGCAGCATATAAGACTCTTTCTCCCTAGCAGAGAGATTTTCTTCATTTTGGTGTCTTCTGTTTTTAATTGCAGAGTTGTTTCAAGATCTCAGTCAACTTCAAGAAGCTTGGTTAGCTGAAGGCAAGTTTTTTAGCTGTCCTATTTTCCATATAAAAACATTTTACTGTGCTTTTAAATAAACTTAAAGGTCTAAAATAAAAATCTCTGTTGCAGCACAAGTTCCTGATGATGAACAATTTGTCCCAGATTTTCAGTCTGACAACTGTAAGTACCTATCAGGTCGTCGCACATCTGTTTTGAAATTGTCTGGTCTTGGATCATCCATATTCAGAATAATTTTTTTCAGCTATGGCCAGCAGATTTGGAATGCATTAAGTTTTTTCAGTAATTCAGAGTTAAAAACTTTTGTTTCATTCCCTATTGATATTTTTTATGAGTGCTTTTATTCCATTGTGTGGATAAGATTACTGAACATAATTCACCTTATATTTCTTTTTGCCTGAGAAGAATATTACAAGGAAGACTTCAAGCTTGAAGTCATAAATTAATTGGCATCACATGTCAGATGTTGGACTGAATGTCCATAAATCAGACATTGTTGTATAGCTTTTTTGTTTGTTTTATAAATTAAGTTCTGAATGTGAATCATGAATGTGACATGTTTCTTTTCTTTTAAAGGTGCAGAAAATAGTTAATGGAAGATTCCAGTTAATTGTGGTTTCACCCAACATATTACTGATTTTGTTTCTAAATTGACAAAGGGTCGTCACAGAGTGACTGATTTATTTACTCTTATTTTTAATGTAGTTGCTGTGACTTAAGCGTTCAGAGAAGAGTAAAAATATTTTCTTGAAATGCTCAGTTAAGTGCTCATTGCTTGAGATAACGGAAAGACGGTGGGGAGAATGAAAGATGGGTCTCCATACTGGCAGGAGCATGGCTAGATTTGCAGGGCTGCCCTCAACAGGTCTGGGAGCTTTTGTGGTCCAGGCAGAGCTATCAAGGACAAAGCTAGCTGATGAAATTTGAGCAGCACAGGCAGCTCTAGAGAGCATTAGTCACTGGTGAATGAGCGGGTTTAGGGGAGGCCTGGAGAAAATGCTGCCTCTCTTGAGAGTTGCATCATAGAGAAATTCATGTCTCTTAGTCATAGTTTATAATAGCAAGCACCTGAGCCAGGCAAGGATATGATTTCTCACTTTGCACCCAATAAATTCTTCCCAGCTTTGTTTTGTTTCTGAGGTATGTGTATGTGTGTGTGTATGTATGTATGTAAAATTCACTGGGAAAGAAGGTATTTTCAGGTCTAAATAAAAACTGGGTGTTCTAAATCATTAAATGAAAAAATGGAGGTTCCAACTAAACTAAACATTCTTTAATGATAGGCCTCATTTCCAAGGCACAGTGCCATGAGACTTTAAAAGGGAATAAACTGTAACTCATAGATGCCTGGTTACCTTAGCTTTGTCACAGCTTGCTGTAGAAGTTTTCTATAGGAAAGTAAACGCATGTTAATTATTGCCCTTTGATTGCCTTGGAGTGATTGGGAAGCTTGCCACTATAGGCTATATAAAGACAACCTAAATTGTGTGTGTGTGTGTGTTTGCAAGATGAAAGAGGATTTGTAATCTAGCTTTGTTCTGTGTTGACAATTTGGCCCAACCTTTCCATTTCTTGCTCAGAGCAGCATAAACTGTAGTCTGTGAGGTGGCTTTCTTGGCAGAGACTCTTTGAAATGCTTTTATGACACTTGTGTTTGTTTCTCTGTAGCCCAAAGAGTTAAAGGGGAGATGAGACAGCTGCATTCAAATTGGTTTCATGTGCCTGAAGCAAGGACACTTTCTTTAGAGAAAGATGTTGGCAAATAGGATTTATAGTTGGAGAAATATTAATCTGTAGAAATAGGCTAAAGTGTAGGAATCAATAAACGTGTTTTGGTTCCTTAGAAATAATTCCTGCTCACTGAATGGCATATGTTCAGTTGTTTAATCTAAAAAGAAAAAAAACCCCCCACACACACCAAACTCACTGCCATCAGTCTATTCCAACTCATTGAGACCCTCTAGGGCAGAGCAAACCTCCCCATAGAGTTTCCAAGGCTGTAAATCTTTAAGGAAGTAGACGGTCACATCTTTCTACCACAGAACAGCTAGTGGGTTTGAACTGATGACGTTTCAGTTAGCAGTTACCTTTTCGGTTAGCTTTTACCGTTGTGCCACTTTAGGAGATGTTGCTGCTTTCTTAGTATGATGTGTTTTTAACTTTGTTTACGCTTTGCTTTAACTTCTTGAGGTTGCGTTTACCTGTATTTTAAGGATAAAACAGATAGTTGAGGAATCTAGAAACACCTTTTAATAATAATTTTCTCCTCTCAGACTCTGATGCCTGGAGGTGGAGCTTAGAGAAGGAACAGTTCAAATAGGTAGACTTGCTTAAATGTTAGGCAGAAACACAAATGGGAGGTGGTATATCCTTGAGCCATTAGTTCTTGCTACTATAGCTTGACTGCAGTTCAGACTGACATGCAGAAGCACAGAGCTGGCAGAGCCCAGTGCTGGACGGCAGACTTACTTATCTGTGAGTGCATTTCACAGCATTGTATTGAGATCAGCTTCCATTCCAGTCATCTTCTGGAAGAGCCCATGATTACTCCAGGGGAGGGGAACTCATTCAAACTTAATGAAGCCTTATGAATTTTTTTGAATCACACAAGCAACGAACTAAAACCAAACTTCCATTTACTGGGTGAAGCAAACCTTTTTCCTAAACTCTGTTGGTTCTGTAATCTCAGCAGCAGAAACATTTTATTTTGAAAATTTTTATTGTGAGTTGGGTGAAGGTGTACAGAGCAAATTACTTTTCATTCAGTAGTTCATACATGTTTTGTTTCATGACATTGACTACAGTTCCCCACAATTGTAACAGCTCTCTTCCCACTTCCTCCCTATAGTAACCTCTTCCCATGTCCTTTCCTGTGCAGTCTTGCCCCCTGAGCTAGCTAGCTGTGCAAATATTGCTCTTCTCCCATGATTGATTGTTCTAAGGAGTGTGTTGATTGATTGTTCTAAGGAGTGTGTCTACTTGATGTAAAAGGTCATGCAATATGCCTGTTACTTGGCTGAAAGCCACGAGAGTGAGAACAATTCCAGAACTAAAGGGTAGCTAGGGGCAATAGTTTTGGGGGTCTCACCAGGCTCTATTGGACCAATAAACCCAGTCTTTTTTAAGATTTTTAGTTTTGTTCCACATTGTTCTCCCACTCAGCAGAAACATTTTAAAACAAATGTTGTTCTGTCCTCTTGTGGGTAGTAGTCCACCTTTCCTATTAACAATGATTGGATTGATTTTCTTATCTTTTTGGGGGTGTTTGTATGAGACAGAGAAATACTAAGTAGTGTGGGAAATCATTTTTATTTTGGAATGGCAGTGGTTTGAAGATTATGGCTTACTGTTTTTATAAACTATAGTTCAACTTCTAAAGAGATTAAGTTTTCTAGATTTATGTTTCCTACCCCTAAATATCCATCCATCCTAAGTATGCTTTGAATAAATGAGATCATTGTACTTATAAATCCTTATAGATGTGTCCAGCTTACTTCTAGCTGTATAGTTTTCACCTCTGCCTCAGAAATGTAGACATTAAATGGAGACATGATTGTAGGTTTCCCCTCCTGGAAACTTTGAGGTTAAATTCAAAGGATTAAAAAGAATTGCCTATAGAACATATGACTGGGAAAGATCTGCCTTTGGTCATGTTGTCAGAAGGGACCAATCCCTAAAGAAGAACATCATGCTTGGTAAACTAGAAGGTCATTGAAAAAGGAGAAGACCCTCAGTGAGATGGATTGACACAACGATGGGCTCAAACATTGCAAATATTGGGGGATGGTGCAGGGCCGGGCAGTGTTCTGTTGTACATGGGGTCGCTATCAGTTGGAGCTGACCTGATGGCATCTAACAGCAACATAGACCTTAGGAGGTCTAACAATGCCCCCCATTGTCCTTGGTTCTGAGAAGTAACCTTGGAGATCCCATATTGTTGGAGCTGGAAATCCCTTTTAGAGACATCTTAACCAACCCCTTCATTTTATAGAAGGGAATATAAAGTCAGAGAGTTGGAGGGGTTTGGGGCCAGGAGGGAGAGGTTAAGTAAAAGGCTGGTGGTGGGGGGAATGGTATCCTTAAAGAAGCCCTCACACAGCTGCAGAGCCAGGGGGTACTGGCATTTCAGGACATTAAGGGTTGTCCCTCATTATTGCAAATACCTAGAGACAGCCCTTGGGAAAGCTTTAGGGAGACTGTTGACTGGCCAGGCCAGCACCTAAGATCTCTTCTGGCTATGATTCTGAGGAATTTATTAAACTTAATGTTTCAAGGGTTTCTATCTAAGATTTGAAACAGAGAAATAAAATTATAAAAACTGGCATGTTTCTTAGAAGACAGTAGTGTATATACTGTATATTATAAATATGTATGTGTCTGTATCTAGCTAAATAGGTATATTGACACATGGAGCTACCAAACTAGGGAATCTGGGTCAGCATATAGATGTATACACATCTTTACTACACGTTTTCACGGAATTAACTCCAGATCAAGGCCATGGACGAGATCAGAACTCAAAGTGCTTTGACTTGGGGAGAAGTTGGTATTATATTCATTTTTCTGGACTGCTCGGGTACTTCAGGATACTGCTAGACGTATTAGAAAAATACAGTTTATTTCTGACACACATACATATATTATTTGTTTCACTTGTGGTATTGTGAATGCTTACCTGTCAGCATTTTGAATAACTAAGTTATTTTCTGCTGAGGAGAAGGCATGATAAAAATCCTATTTTAAAAACCATGGCTCCCATATGAAATAAAATTTAAGGAATTGTTATAAAACCCAAATGACCTTTTTCTTTTGAAGTGTTCTTTTTAGATCTGTGTTTCAAAAAGAGTAGAATGACTAGAGGAAATATGTGTAGATTTCCTAAGAACTGGCCTAATTGATAGAATCAGCTTTTCTTAAATACACTGCAGTAGGTGGCTGGGAAAACAGGATGAAATGTTACTACAACCCTTGATACACATTGATCATAATCTTGTTTCATTATGAGATTATTCAGCTGGATTTAAATACAAAACAAAACACATTTGCCACTTATATAGTAGAGGCAACTCCTTCCTTTTGGAGAAAACAGATAACCCACTGCCCTAGAGCCAAGCAACCATATAGGACAGAGTAGAACTGCCCCATAGGGTTCCAAGGCAGTA